CGATACGCCGGTGACAGGAGAATCCTCGACATTCACCGGGCGGACGCGGAAAAAGCATACACATGTCAGATCGAGACTATTTTGCAAAGTTTGTGCGACGAATTGGTTCTAGCGATGGGGTCAGCTGTTGTCAAACGGTCACTGCAAAAGCTTCCTGCGGAGAAGTTGAAGCAGTATCTGCCAGATAATTTCCTGGCCAGCAATGATGCATTCGCTACGGAGCTGGAAACTGTACCATCACCCACGGACCTCGACGAGCCTCATGGGGTAGGGTCCCTCTCGCCTATGTAGAACTCCTGAATTGACATTTCTTACAAGGACAAGTCGATAAGGGGTGTGCTAGACCCTCTGCGCAATAAAAAGCGATGTGCCTCCGTCGATACGAATCAATTCCCGACAAAGAAACGTCCTATAAACTCAAGTCAAGAAGACGTGAACGAACAAGAGAGGCCGGCCCAACAGCAAAACATGACCGATAGCACGACTCGTTGCTCTCGAGAACAATGTGGCGAAGGGGCAAACATCCGAGTTGACACGAATACTAACATCCGTCAGCAGGGGAGTGGGGTCTCCATCACCGACAGTAGCTCTGGCTTCGTGGCTGGTGTTGGCTCTGCTTCCGATCAGCCCAGTAGGAATACGCCTCTTGGAGCATCTATCTCACCATCTGCCGAATATTTGGTAACCGCTGATGAGGATAAGCACAATATTACCCAACATGTCGTCGTGGTCCGTGTCAACGATGCCGACGACAATTGTATCGGACATATAAAGCAAACTGGCCCGTGGAACAACGGACGTGTTGACACGATGTTGCAAAAGACTATCCTGCGGCCTGTTAGAATCCGACGAGAACGTGATTTCACAGAGAACCACCTAACTGCCGTCTCCGACCGGTCCGATGCGAAAGGTGTGAAGATCGTTTCCTGCATGATCCAGGCAACTGGAGACGTCATGAATCAACGTTGCCAGCTTTGTGAGAAGTACCAGGGCGTCTTTGAGGAATGTATCAAAGTCAATGACGGTCTCTTCCGACGGTGTGGCAACTGTGAGTGGAATCAAAAACGCTGTCAGGGTTCTTCTATCAACGCGAAGCCAGCATCTTGTAGTCCGTCTAGCGAGCGGTCACGAAGGGACCGGAATCCCCAGCACACCAAATCGAAGGACCTTAATACCTTGGGACAGCCGGGTGGGTCATCGCCAGCCCAATCTCAGCCCCAAAATCTCGCGAAAGGGCAAATGCTACCCAGGGCTGTTGAACCAATGCCAAAACGCCCATGTGAAGTTTCCCAACTTGTTTCTGTGGCCGGAGCGTCACCTATTCTGTCTTCAGACACGCCGCATGAGTCG